TTTTATTTTTTATTATTATTATTTTTTTTTTTACAAGAGAGCAAAAGGTGCCTGGATGGTTTTGCTCTTCTCAGCAGGAAAGTGAAATGTTAGCCATTGTATGGCTAAGAACCAATGCACTTAGGGCCTGATCCAGAGCCCACCGGAGCTGATGCGGGGCTTTCCGTCAGCTTCAGTGTGCATTGGCTCAAGCCCTTCATGGTTTTAGCAGTTCCTGAATTGCTGGAGTGTGAACTTGGAATCTTCTGTAGTGAAGACAAATCATTGCTTAGAAGTTAAATGTTTAAAACGTGCGACTCTAGTTAAAAAAAAAAAAAAAAAAAGTTTGATTCTTCTCGACACTCGTTATTTAGTTCTCATTTTCCATCTAGTATTTAATGGTCTTTGGAGAAAAAAATAATAATAAAACAGAGTGTTATATATATATATAAATATATATATTTTTGGTGCAAGATGAGACCTTCTGTTTTTTGAAACAAGTCTGTAGCATAAAGGTTAAACTATTTTAAGACAAAATAAAATAGAGTGTATTATTTAAACAATATCATCTTGTTTGGGATGTTTTTTTATTTGTTTACCTGAGAAGCCTCCTCGTGGTATTTCCTCCGAGTGCGTCCCCTTGTCCTCCTGGTGGTCCCTGCAGGCTGAGCAGAGCACGTGGCCACTGGGATCCTGCTGCACGCAGATTTTGCCCACAAGAACCACAGTGGCCTAAAAGAGCTGGCAAGCTGAAACCTGACGTTTAAAAGAGAGGTGTAGACCAGCAGTGGAGCCGTGCCCGGGTCCTGCAGGCCACAAGAGGTGGTGCCACGCTGAGCTGTGTTTGGGGAGCCCCTAAACTCCCATCTACTGCCTCCACTAATATGGAAGCAGGAATGAGAATATAAAATCCATTATGTTTCTAGCCGGACAGGGTAGTGTGATTTATTTCTGTTGGTTTTTGTCACACGGGAAGGCTCTCTGTGGTGCGGGTGGTGAGAGCCATTTATCCACGTGTTCTACATAGCCAGACAGATAACAGAAGTCAGTTCGCTTTTCAGCCCCATTGAGTTCTTGGCTTCTGTGAAGCTTAAAAATGGGAATTTGGGGGCCAGGTTGTTGCCATGAACATGGACACCAGAGATTTTGTTTCATGCACATCACCAGCAAGAGAACAACATCACAGAGTCTGGTGCAGATGTGGGAAGATGAGAAGCAATGTCCTCCCTGAGCCCTTTTTCTCCACCACCAGGAGAAACCCAGCGTCCTTGAGCTTCAGCACGCGCTGTACGTAAAGCCTGACATTTCCCTGCAGTCACTCAGCACATCCCTCGTGGCTCAGGCCAGTTTGCTTTGTGGGGATTGTCGTTTCTGGAGCTGTATGAGAATTGACAAAAGCTGCTTGAGCAGCTCGCATTCTGTATTGTTTTCCACGGTGAAGTCATTGCAGTGCAGATTAATTTTTTGGCTGAGTTCAGTTTGTCTGCCTTAAAATGGGAAGTGAAAGGGTTTTACCGAACAAATTAGTTCTCGCCTTCCCTGGAGGATCTGCAAAATGTGTCCTTTGCTGAGTGCTTCACCACCATTTGCTGAAGTACTGTTTGTTTTTTCCCTCTCCTTTTTAGGGTTGCAGCTTGTGAATGCCAGATGCTTTCTCTCCCGAGCATTGCAGGGTTGGAGCTGCAACTTCCCCTCTGCAGGGACAGGGGCAGCCCTCCTGCAAAGCACCTCCTTGTGTACGAACACATCTTGTTTTACTTCCAGCTTTGGTGCAAATAAGGTGGCCGCTCTCCTTTTACTGGAACTAAACGGTAGCTTACGGCTGGAAAAAGAAACAAATTAGAGCTCTGCAAAATTCATTTTTCATTACTCTACACCACGCAAATTGAATGCAGACCTGGGTCCTGGCTGCTGCCTCTCACGGCGGGTTTCCTGCACGTGGCTCTGACAAAATCCCATCTCCTACAGCTGAGGATCACATTTGCTCTGCCCACAGCTTCACCCACTGATCGCTTTTGGCTGGCCCGTGATCAAGGGCACCCAAACCTTTCCCACCTCCTTTCTGCCAGGTCCTTGTGTGTTTACATTAAGGCTGATGCCACCGAACCCCACTGCCACGTCTCACTCCAGCTCATCCACTACTTCCCCTGCTGGCAGTGCTGCACGAGCCCGCCTGCTCAGCAGTTTTCAGTAGAAATCTCCAACTCTACACCAAGGTCACTCGTGAAAACACTGAAGTAGCGTGGTTTCAAAGCTGATCTCTCTAGGGGAGCCAACAGCTTGCGCAGCCACAGCTGAACCAGGCATCAGCTTCCTCAGAAACTCACCACGGGCAGATTTAATTACTCGCATGCTAAAATATCCTGATTGCTCCTGTCATTGCCATATTAACCCCCTGGATCCCCAGCCTTTGGCAGCAGGGACCTCCAGGTCCTTCCAAGGAAGCAGGGTGCCTACAAAGCCCCCAGGAAGGGGGTTTCAAGTTGGAATGGTTGAGCTGGACCAATGCTGGTGAGACCCTGATGGGAAATGTGTCGCTCTTGCAGTGTGTTAGTCAAAGCTCGTCTCACCTGGCATGGAATGTGACAGAGATCCACAATGCAGTAATTTTACTGCTTTTCCCCATGATCACACTTCCCACCACCTCCTTCACTGGGCTCTCCTCTTGGTCAGCAGCACGTCCCTCAGATGTCCCCTCCTTGTTCCCGTGCCTGAGAGCTGTGCTTTCTGGGAAGGGCACCCTAAGAAAGCTGCTTTGCGCTTAAATAAAGCAGTGGTGAGGGTTAATGAATAGATTTGGGAAGATGGGTAGGTCTTTTGAGCGGTTGGGCTTGGCTCTTGAAGGTGGCCATGGGAAGCTGAGGAACTTTGTGGGGATCGACCCACCTTAGGGAAGTGTTTCTCTGAGTGATCTGAATGATTTTGGCACATCATGACCCCAGATTGCTGAGGAATTGGTCATCTCCTGGTGGCACCGTGGGGACCAAGGAATGGAAGAGGCTCCAGGAGAGCTGCCTGGAGAGGGGCAGGGCTGGTGTTACTGAGATGGGAGCAGTAACCAGATGCCTGCCCTTGAATTATTGAGGAGCTGCAGCGTGTGCCTCCAGGGCATCGCGAGTCACAGCACGGTGAGCTGGGGTGGGCGGCGTGGTGCTGCCACCAGCATGCTTCCACGTCAAAGCCACGATAAATCCCGATGAAAAGAGGGGAGCCTGCAAAAGGCAGCTCGTGGCGTGGCTGGGACGAGGCTCGGCATGTTGAAAATGCAGTTTGGGTCATCTTCATCGCAAGGAAAGGTTCCTGGGGCACACCAGACCGTCCTCCATGCCCCGTGGATAATCCAAGGGCCTTTTCTGTGTCTGGGAAGCATCAGGCCTTCATTAGGAGGAATTATTAGGGAAATTTTCACCACAGGCCAACCTGGGCATTGCACAAGGCGGGGAGCACGCTTACCGGGGGGCTGAGCTCCCCACAAGGCAAAAAAAACCCGCGTTATTAAAGTGCCTCACAGGCCGGTTAGCGGCGGTTTTTAATCCAGTTTGGCCACCGACATTTTAGCTCGGAAAATGCGGTCTGGAAGCAGCCGGTGGAAGGCACTAGATGGCACCAGAGCCGGAGGCACGGGCTGCAGCCGCATCCTGCGCTCCCATCCCCAGGAGCAGGGGATCAAGGCTCCAAAAATCACGCCAAAAAGGGCTGGTGGGTGTGAAAGCATCCCAGGCATCGGCAGGGTTGGATTTGCACCTGGCTGCAGCATCCCGGCTACAGGAAAAGTGAGCCCAGCGGGATTTGCCTGCAGCTGGACAAATGCAGGGTGTAAACGCCGCCTTGCAGCACTTGTGTATGTCCTGGGGCGAGCTTTGGCTAAAATGGTCACACTTAAACACTGCGCACACCCAAAATATGAGATGCAATTATGGAAATAGCAAAATAAGAGTGAATTTAGTTGAGCGTAAGCCTCAAACAAAGCCTTGGGGTGACCCAGGCGTCAAAGCCCAGCTGGGGCTCCCATTGCGCTGGGCCAGGCTGTGGTGCCACGGCACCACCTCTCCCTGTAGGATTTCCTCTGATCACCACCCTCCAAGCCCAGCGGCGTGTTTAATCCCCCAGCAAGGCCTTGAGAGCCCCAAAACCCTGTCAGTGTGCCACCAGATGCGGACACCACATCTTCCCATCTGCAACCCGATGGCATTGCTGCTGTGGGTGCGGGACGTCCTCCTGGAGCTGGCTGTGGCAATTTCTGAGGGAAAAAATAAAATTAAATGATACATTAAATAGATATATATGTGTGTGTGTGTATAGGTGTTCACCAGGGCTTTTCTGCTGCTGTGGCGGAGGTCTGCAAAGAAAAGCCAGCTTCGGATGATGTTGGCATGTGGGGTTTTGAGCTGGCTGATCCCACTCCCCTGTCCTGGAGGGTTTCACCTCATTTTTGTGGAAAAGGCAAAATCCCTGCCCTGCCAGCCCTGCTGGAGGACAACTCGGGACCCCGAGACAGGGCTGCAGGGACCCCACGGGGGGTGCCTGTGGGTGCCAAGCTTCAGCTGTGAGGACAGCTGGGGACCCAGGCCTCACTTTAATTTTAATTTCATTTATAATGCCGAGCCGTGGTGTTGGGGATCGGGCTGCTGTGTGTGTGTGTGTGTGTGTGTGTGTACGTGCCGCAGCCCCAGCCCCCTCCACCACCTGCCACCCAGGCAGTTGGCGTTGGGGCAGCCGGCAGAAACGGGCGGAAAGCGACGATTTTTGTGTGTGTGTGTTTTATTTTTATTTTATTTTTCCATTCTCCCGTTACCCTGCGTGCACAAACGGGGCAGACCTGCCACAGGACAAGGATTAAAACCAGGATGGGGACCACCTCCTCCCCCCCCCCCCCCCCAAAACTCCCCTCAGCCACACTGCGCGCGTGCCCGCGCCCCCTCATCATCATCCCCCCCCCCCCCCCCCTTTTAGTGGGCGGGTACGCGCGGGCCCGCGCCTTGCTGCCATTGGCGGCGGCCGCCTTTGTGCCCGCGTGCGCGCGCGCGCGGGCGGGGAGCGCGGCCCGGCCGCCGCTGCAGCTGCAGCCGCCGCTGCTGCAGCCACCGCCGCCGCCGCCGCGGGAAAGCAAGCAGAGAGCGCGAGCAAGAGTCAAAGGGGGCCGGCGGGAAAGCAAAGCGGGAAAGAAGCGCGGGGAAGCGAAGCGAAGCAAGGAAGGGGGAGGGGGGAGCTGGAGCCGCTGCAGCCGCTGGAGGAGCCGCTGGGGCCGGGGCCCGGGCCGCGCGCCGCCCCGCGCGCAGCATGGTCCTGGTGCACGTCGGCTACCTGGTGCTGCCCGTCTTCGGCTCCGTGCGCAACAGAGGTACCGCCACGCCGCGGGTTCGCGTCCCGGGGCCGCCCGAACCGGCTGGGGGAGGGGGGAGGAGGGGGGGGGGATGCTAAAACCCCCTAAAAACCTGCCCCAAACCCCAGCCGGGCCCCCACGCCCCCCTCCCCTTAATTCCCTATATTCTTTTGTTCCCCCCCCCCCCCGCCTGCGCTTCCATAGATCCATCCCCCTTCTTTTTATTATTGTTATTATTATTTTGTTACAAACGCCGATTTCCGTTAGTTTTCGTTCCGTTATTTAATTCACCCTTTTTTTACCCCCCCCACCCCTCACCCTCCCTCCCCCCCCCCCCACCCTCCGCGTAGCCTAGCGGCCACCCCCCTGCCATCTGTGCCCCCATCCTGTGCGGCTGAGGACATGGCACTGTAAATCCCTGCCCCGGGGATTCCTTTTGCTGGGGTTTTTTTTTGTTTTATTTGGGGGGGGGGGGGGGTGGGGGGGGCTACAGGGGGGTCCCGATGCCAAAACCACGAGAAAATTAAAAAAAAAAATCCCCAAAATTAAAAAAAATAATAATAATGCATTCACAAATTAAAAAAAAAAATAATAATTCACAATTCGGTGCGATCCGTAACATCCCGAATCAAAGAGGGGGGGGCGGGATGGCAATTGGGGACCCCCCCCTTAAAATAAAGCCCCCCCCCCCCCCCCCTCTAGACACACACCCCACCAGCAAAATGGATCCCCATCAACCAGGGATAACATTATTTTCTGCTGTGCTGAATTACTTCCTGTTCTTATTTTGTGGGTAATTTTCTGTACCGAATACCCTTTGGTTGTGTATCTCCACCTTTTTTCTTGTACTAAAACTAAAGCATGGTCTGTATTTTTTTACATTACCTAGTTTCTGATGTAAATCTCTCTGTAGAGACATACCCTGCTGAAAAGTAATGTGCTGTAGCCTATACATCTGCTCAGTGTACGCTGCTTTTGTTCTGTTGCCCTTCCATAGCATGGTGGGCCTTGCCTTTTGTATTGTGTGCATGATGACATTGTTACACACGATTCCACTAATACTAATATACGATCTCTCAATAAAGAAACTAGTTTTCCTATATTAACCTAGTGTGCTTTTTCTATTGCTGTTTTCCCATTTATTGTCGTATCCTGCTGTTTAGATTTTTTCCTTGCTTTCCCCCTCACCCCCACCCCCCCTCATCGTGAGGTCTGAGTGAGTGGATTTCTCCCTGGCGCACATAGGGGGGCTTTTTAACATAGATACATTTTTTTTCCCCATCCCATATCAACCCTCAGCATTACTCTGTGTATACATTGCTCCCGCAACGCACGCTCTGTGCTGCCAGTGTGCCGATGCAGAATCCTGCCTGACAACTGAATAGCCAAAAAAAAAAAAAAGAAAGAAAAAGCATAAATCCAAGCTATTAATCAGAAAAGATGGATAATTAATGAAGGGTCCGCCACTGATTTTATCTTAGTTATGTTACACCTTCCTTAGCAGACTGGTACCAAACCGAGGGACGGCCTCCGGATGGACGGGGGGAGTTCTCTCCCCCTGAACTCTGATTAACAAGAGGTGAATGGCCCTGGGAAATATAAAATCCCCCCTGCCCGTGGCCCTATATCTGAGCATGGATGCGTGCTCGCCATCTGCCAGGCGAGAAGTCGCCGTGCCTTGGTCCCAGGGCTGTAAATATCCCCGCCGGGGCCCTAAAACCGGCCCGGCTGCTGGTGCCCTGGCTGCCTCTTTCTGCTCCGGGCCCTCCATCTTCTGACGCCCGCTGTGGTCACAGAGTCGGCCCCCCGGGCTCGTGAGACATAAAATCTGCCCCAGGGTTTCAGAAGGGCCCTGTAAAACCCTCAAATTTTGGTTGCAGGGCGGTGCACGGGTGCCAGGGCCAGCAGGAGAGGGGCTGGGGTGTGTGTGGGGGGGACCTTGTCCGAGCGGCGCCCTGAGGAGACGGGGAGCCGCAGGGCCGGGTGCTCATCCTCACCCAGGGCAAGGCGGATTTCGGCAGCTCCCAGCGCTGAAATCCCCTTGCCACCATCCCCACAGAGCTGCCCTAGCAAGCCAAACAAAAAGCCAGCGGTCCGAGGCGCCCCCAGCACCCCTCCAGGAGCCGCATCATTCTGCAAAGGCCGTGCCTTTCCACCTCCCTCCTGGCTTTTCCCTCAGTTTTTTTGGTTTGGTTTTGTTTTTTGTTTTCTGTTCCGTTTTTGAGTCACGACCTCCTCCTCCATACTTCCTCCTCTGTCTCTCTGGGTGCCTGTCAGGCCCCCCCTGTCCCCCAGCGGGCCCCCCTGGGTGCAGTGCGTGCCGTGCCCCTTTGTTCTCCTCCATCCTCGCCCCGGGCCAGCGCTGAGCTCCGCACACATGTCCCCGCGCACACCCCGAGGAGGGAGGCTGTGCTTCTCGCTTGCATGAAGGGAGACGTGCATGCCTGTTGGGGCTGATCATTTTCTGATGTGACCTTTTTTTTTTATTTTTATTTTTCCTTTTTTTTTTTTTCCCTTCGTTTCTTACAGTTACTCAACCCCCCCCCCCCCCTCTTCCCACCCACCCCACATGAAACAATGAGAGTTTTGGTTACGGTGTAAAACAACAGCAAAAAAAATGAATCCCTTCCACCCCACCCTGCCCCAAAACCCTGTCATGGATAAACCCTGTCCCCCCTGAACCCGTGGGTGGCTGCAGCCCCTGAGGTCCCACCCTACAAAGCGGTGCTGGTACAGAGCAAAACGGGGCTGTCAGCGTGCTCTGTAATCACACCTCGGTAATCTGATAATAAAAAGCTGCTGGGTTAATGGCGACGTGTCCTAAGCTATTGATCACCCCCATCATATTTTGACCTGTCTTGTTAGAAACACATCCATAGGAGAGGAAACATCTCCCCCCCTCCAGCTCCCAGCGTTATTAGTCGGTAACCAGCGGGCTCATAATCCATCAAACACATCTGCACTTTAACGACTTAATTCCTTTGACACCCTGAGTCTCGAAAAGCCACCTGGACAGAGAAAATAATCTTTTTTTTTTTTTTTTTTAATTTTAGCATCTGCGGGCTGAGGAAAGCCCAGACAGATCCCGTGCGGGTGCTGCTGTGGGTGTGGAGGCACACGCAGCGCTTCTGTCCTGTGGGCTGCTCTAAATAACCTCTTTCTGTAACAGGGAGGAGGATAATCCCGAACACGGACAAAACCGGCTCTGAGATGGGTTTATGTAAGGGTTGTGTAAAGGTCTTAAACGTATCTGTGGGAATTTAATAACCGTGCTGCCAAATGGGGGCCGGACCCATCCGGGCTCGGGCTGTAGTCACCATTTCCGTCGTTTTTTAAGGAAAAGGTGAAGGGATGGTGGTCACGTTTTGCTGTTCCTCGTTTGGGGAATAATCAGCAAAGTCTGGTGAGCGTTGATGTGGATTTACGGTGTGGATCTGGCCCCATGGAGGTGTGTTAGTTAAGAAGCGGTGAGTTTGTGCCCAAGTGAAAAAGCGAATGTGGCTGGGATGGGAAGGGGGGTCCCAAAATCCCTCCCGGGGGCTCCTCAGCCCCGGTGCTTGGTCACCAAAACCTGGCCCCGTTTTTTGGGGGAGAGCAGGACCCTGAAACACCAACCTGTGGGCTCGGTCACTGCCTCCGTGAGCTGCCTGGAAGGAGCTCCACGGAGTAAGTGTGAGCTTGAGTATTTTTGGAGGGGGGGGAGATTTTTGTGGAAAATGGCTGGAAGTACAGAGCTGGGAGGATGTTGCAGGTCTCCTGTGCCTCAATCAGACTCAGCACCTTTAAGCCCCAAGAGCAGAGCTGACTTTGCAACTGGGGGAATCGTGACGGCACTGCCAGGCGTCAGGACTTTGGGGAATACCACGGGATTTGGGTGGTTTCACAAAACCCGCAGCTCCCGGAGTCAAGCGATTACACCAGGCTTTGCTTTCCCCCAAGAACGGGGGAAAATGCCCATTTTCCCCCGTTCTTGGTTCAGTTTGGGTCAATCTGCGGTAGGGCTGGGCATAGGGGTCACGGTTCCCCTGGCTGCCCACACAGGACCCCATGGGAGGCCCTAATTCAGTCCTTCCTTGGTCTCATCTTCCTGCTGAACCTTCTTGGGGTGAAACTCAGGTCTGTGGGGAATGGCTCAGGGTCTGCAGAGCTCAGGGCAGGCAGCACTCAGATCAAGCTCCCTTCTGCCCCGAGTCCCCTCTGCTTAAGATATTCCTAAGAGGATTTTGTTAGCTTGGAGGAGAACCTGGGTGTCTCCATCAATAACTGAGGGAACACAACTTTGCATGTGCCAGCGTGCACAAAAATCCTGGTGCTTTCTGGGGGGGTCTCCCCCTGAAGGAGGAGATGGAGGTGATGGCTCTGCCACCGTGTCCCCGTCCTCCTCCCTGCCTGGAGGTGACACCCGAGGAGTGGGTGCAGGGGGAGGTCTGGGTGCCCCTGTGCAGAGGGCCTCTCAAAAGAGATGAAATCCGTCATTTCAGTGAGAGGAGAGCCTCTTCCCTGACAAAGGACCGTCAGCCCTGCAGTGTTTGGCATCAGTAGACGTTGATTTCAGGTGGTGATCTTGGCCAGCTGCTTCGGTTTCAGATGGGTTTTGGCAAACGTTTCTCCCTCTGTGAGCTAACTGAAGCCAGGGGTTTTCTTCTCTGCTTCGAAGAAACTGCTCTGAACGGTTCAGAAGGCACTGAGCAGGGACCCTGCGGTCTAGCAAAAGCCTGCTTTGAGTTTTATTGCTTCTGGGGATGGCTCACTGTGGGGTGATGTTTTGGGGGACTACCAGCCCTGATGGTGCTGCTGCCCATTGCTCATTTTCCTTGGAGGGCTCTGGTGATGCTGTGGAGCTGTTATCATGTGTCTCTCTTCCTTGAATGGTGCAAGGAGCAGGCATTTCCCTAAAAGTGGAGAAAATGAGGCAATGGGTTCTTCGTGGACATGGCCTTTCTTTGAAGGGCCCTTGAGGAGGACTCTTGGAGCTGGACAAGGCTGATGGTGGCTCTGGTGTCCAGGCACCCAAGGCT